TCTCCCTTCACCCACTTTTCTGTTGTCCATCCCCCAGGGAGGAGGTTATATGAAGATCCTTGTAATCGGTTCCCCCTTTCCACCTCACTCTTCCTCCACCCTCCCAGTATCACCACTCTCACCACTGGTCCTGAAGGGATCATCTGTCCTAGATTCCCTGCGTTTCCAGTTCCTATCTGTACCAGTGTGCATCCTCTGGTCTAGCCAGATTTATAAGGTGGAATTGGGATGATAGTGCGGGGGAAGAAGCATTTAGGACCTAGAGGAAAGTTGTATGCTTCATCGTTGCGACACTGCACCCTGACTGGCTCATATCTTCCCTACAACCCTTCTGTAAGGGGATGTCCAGTTGCCTACAGTTGGGCTTTGGGTCTCCACTCCGCACTCTCCCTCATTCACAACGATATGATTTTTTGTTCTGATGATGCCTGAGACCTGATCCCTTCAACACCTCATGATCACACAGGCCGGTGTGCTTCTTCCATGTGGGCTTTGTTGCTTCGGAGCTAGATGGCTGCTTGTTTACCTTCAAGCCTCTAAGACCCCAAACACTATATCTTTTGATAGTCGGGCACCATCAGAATAAAGCATATTTTAATGCAACATTTAAAAATAAAATTAAATGTAAAAGTACCACGATGAACAAGATGTCAACTTTTTAAATGAAAACAGCATCCGTATATTGGTGATTATTCCTTTTGCCTTTGGCTCCTGTGTAGTTCTGCTCAGCTCTGCCTCTGCCTCTCACTTCCCTCTATTCTGATGTCACACTCCAGTCTCAGGTCTTGGAGCGGCAGAGGAGGGAACATTGTGCTGGCTGCATCACTCCGTGCTGGGGGAGCACTGTAGGGGGAGCATTCAGAGCCAGGGGGAGGGGGGTGTCAGCTGTCCAGGAACAGGCAGGGAGCCCACAAGAGCTGACCCTGCCCTCTCAGGGCGAATTCTGGAGGAATGGTTTCCAAGGACCGAGAAAGAACGTTCACTGGGACACAGCTCTCAGATGGGATGAAGCCCTTCCTGTTCATTGGAAATGTCGGCACCTTTACAGGGTGTTGACATTAATCCAGGCACCCATTGTATCTGCACATTGAAGATGGGATTCTAGCCACAAAAGAGCGAACCCTTTCACTTCCTGTGTCCCCAAATATCCTGCCAGGATAAAAGCCACACACAAACAGTATTGATCATGTCAGTGAGCAAACATGGGGCAGGGGAACTCAGGAAGCGACATCTCTTGGCTCAGCACTGAGAGAACAGGATAAATGATTACTCGGGAGGCTGTGTGTCCTTAAAGACTTTCAGGTATTACTACCACCTCCACCTCCACCTCCTCCAAGGGTTGAGAGAAGGCATCTCATCAGCATTGTCAGTCAGGGGGTGTCCAAAGCCAGGGATCATAACTCTGTGAGACCTCCTTTGCTAATGTAGCCAGGGGAACAATGCCAAAGAAGGAATGGCTCCTTCATTTAAGTGAATTGAAGGAGATTATATATACGTATATAGGACGAAGACGAATTAACCACTGAAAACCTATGCAAAGCATGAAAGCGTTGTGAACTACGACGGCCTAAAGAGTGGAAGCCGAACCCTGTTGGAGACAGTGCCTGAGGATGGACCCCTGGGGTAGGAAGGCAAGGATGAGGAGCTGCTTTCTGAAAGTAGAGAGGACTACAGTGACGTGACTGGCGATGACGGAAACTATGAGATTGAGTTAAAGACTGCACAACAACCTGTCCAGTTTCCTTGTGAAATAGGAGATGTGGGAAGGGTGCGGCTCATTAAGACAGGTTGGTCGCAAGAGAGGCAGGCCATGTATTTGGCCCAGAGAGAGATATCTTAACGACCAGGTGTCAACTCTGGAAAAGGGCCTCTAGGCTTGGTGGCTCAGTGCCCCATGGGTTGCACCTCCCACTAACTTTGCGGACTCAAGAGACAGAAGCAAAGTCGCTGCCATCGATACAGGACAGGGTAGAACTCACCCTGAGCGTTTCCGAGATTATCAATCTTTCGAGATCGCCGTTCTCCGCTGGAGGCGCCTGGTGGTTTCAAACTGCTGACCTTGCGGTTGGCAGCCCGTCGATTACACCACCGGGTACAAGTAGGAGGCGATTATTCCGGGAAGCCTGAGCGTCCTCCAATCAGAAGCCAGTGGGCAGAGAGTTAAGGCGGGACCTTAGCGTGCGCGGCCAATGGGAGCACGGCGGGGCTGGCCGCCGCGCGCCGGCCCCCGTCCTCCGCGGGGTTGGCGGCCCGAGCCGGGAGCCATGTGGGCAGCTCCGGGCGCGGCGGCGTGCGCGGCGGCGCTGGGCGGCGCGCTGCTCCTGCTGCTCTTCGCGCTGGGGGTGCGGCAGCTGCTGAGGCAGAGGCGGCCGGTGGGGTTCCCCCCCGGGCCGCGGGGGCTGCCGTTTATCGGCAACATCTACTCCCTGGCCGCCTCTCCGGAGCTCCCCCACGTCTACATGAGAGAGCAGAGCCAGGTGCACGGCGAGGTAGGGCCCCGACGGGCCCCGGGCAGGGAGGCCCGGCCGGCCGGCCACGGTGGGCTCCTGGTGGTGGAACTCCGCCCCGTCTGCGAGCGGTCGTGGAGGGAAACCCGCTCCCTGTCACGGTGCCTTTAGGGGGGCGACCAGCCTCGGCTCTCTGGGGCCCAGCGGCCGGTGGCTGCACGGCGCGCCTGGAGGTTAGCAGCCCGACGCCTCGCCCACGGCGCCAACAAACCAACCCTCGAACTTCAAACCCCAGAACTCGCTCCCGACGCGAGAGCGCAGCGCCCTCTGCCGCGCGAGCCCTGCCCTAGCCGGCGGCCCCCCCATCCTCCCGGCCCCATGCGTCGCGGGGACCCCGGTTTCCCGCCCTGGAAAAGCCCGGGCTTTGGCTCCGGCGCCTGCGCACTATGGGCAGCGCCGATTGGCAGGCCGGCCGACCCCGCGGGCCGCCGGCGTCCCCTCCCCGGACAGGCACCCCAGCCCGCACCCCCAGTTCTCCAGCCGGCAGTGCCGCCTTCTTCACGCGAAGGTGGATGGATTCCAACGCACGGCTTCTCAGGAGGACAACACCGAAATCTAGGAAGGAGGGTCTGCTGTTCAGAGGAAAGACGTAAACTAGATTTTTGCTATGGTTATAAAGAGAGCACAGAGCAGAGGCCCTGGCCTGGAGTTGTTGTCATTAGGTGCCCTGGGTCGATTCTGACCACTGCTCGGCCATATGCTGTCCCTACGACCCGAGTATCCTGTTCCTGGCCATCCTTGCAGCCAGTGTCACGCCATCGCCTGGGGGCGCGGGGGGGGGGGCTTCCTCTTTTTCGCTGGTCCTCTACCAAGCTTGATGTCCTTCTCCAGGGGCTGGTCTGGGTCCAGGAAACCAAGCCGCTCCATACTTGCCCCGTAGGACCACTTGGGCAGTGTCCTCCACGACAGATTGGTTTGTCCTTTGGCGCCCTAGAGCTGGGCCCTTGTACAGCAGAACCAGACCTCGACGCCAATCCGTTCTAGGAGTGTCCAGATGCGATGCAGTTGAGTTCCAAATCAATTTTTCCCATAAGGAAGTATCTGTTCTCGACCACCACGTTTTTACCCAAACTTTGCCTTTTTATACTATAATTTAAGTAACACAACATTTTAAAAGTTTTTAACAACTACGGTATGGCCCATACCTTGAGATCAATGAGGATCTGGATCTGTGGACTCAGATGTAGAGAAGAGGTATGGAGAGAGCCATTGTTTGGAAGGGGAATCCCCTTCTATAAAATCAGCTGGTAGCTGCTTTCCGGAGTTTTTTCCCTTCTTTGCCTTTTTTCACTAAGACTTGGCTGGCTTTCTCTTAAAAAGAATAAATCTGTCTAATGTGGTCTGCTGTTGGCATTTCCTTAACTGTTTTCTAAAAGAGTTTACTAAATTATCCACAATATAGATAACACGGTTAACCAGTTCCTTATCATGATGATTCTTTTCAAACAACTTTCTTAGGACCCATGTTTTTAATCTAAAAATAGTACAAAAATCCACAAAAACTAAGAATGATAGCAAAAATGCTTGGAACAGCCGCAGGAGGTTTAAACAATGCATACTAATAATGCCAACTAACCCCGAGTGACCAAAACACGAACTGCTTTTGTTTACAAAAATCACGTGCATTGGGTCGGATTCCAATATTTTGTTGGAACTCTGATGCAAAATTCTCTAGACATTTCGCGTCAAAATTCGAGTATGTTAAGTACTTATGTGGTTGAGTACCGGGGTTTTACTGTAATTAACTGAGAAAGAATGAATTAATGAGTTTGGTGTTATGTCCAAAATACACGAGACAAAATCTTGAATTCTCACTTCTAAAAAGCATTCTGGTCATATTTTCTCCAAGACAGATTTGTGTTTCTTTTTCCTGGCATCCCATAGTACTTGTCCGTGTTGTCAACAACATGATTCAGATGCATCAGTTCCTCTCCCATCCACCTTAACCTTCAGATACACTAGTGCCTGAAACCTAAAGGCATTTGGTTTGCACAAGGGTGTGCCCTACAGTCAGAGCCACCCAAAGCAGTCCACTCACTACCTGGAGTACTTGCCTTATTCCTGACCACTGAACTGCCTCACTGACCAGAACAAAGTCCAGGAAAACTAAATCTCTGACATCGAGCCTATTCTGACACAAAAGAGAAGCTTCTCCTATAGAGTAGAACTGCCCTTGTGGATTTCTAAGACTAAATATCTCTACAGGAGTAGAAAGCCTCATCTTTCTCCGGCCAGGAGGCTGGTGGTTTCAAACTGCTGACCCTGTGGTTAGCAGCCCATGGCTTACTCTACTACACTACCAGGACTCCTTTGGCCTTCAGGAGAGGTGGATAGGTTAACTAATCCACATACCAAGGACTAGGGAACTTGGCCTATGCATTGACTACTTCAGAATGAAGACGTACAGATCTCAACTCTGCCATCGAGTTGATGCCAACTCATAGTGACCCTATAGGACTGGGTAGAACTGCCCTTTGGGGTTCCTGAGACACTTTACAGGCGTTGAAAGTCCCATCTTTCCTCCATGGGGCAGCTGGTGGTTTCATGCCTTTGTAGCAGGCAGCCCAATGTGTAACCACTATGTCACCAGGGCTCCTAAGCCATATAAATAAAGGGCAATTATTGCATTTATCCTATTACCAATTCCTAGTCATTGGATGAACAAAGACCCTCCTGACTGTTGTTACTGAAAACTTGTCTCAATGATCTTTTGAAGAACAATCGATGTTATTTAGCATATCTATGAAAGTAATGAAGGAGACTGGTGGAGCTTTCTACTCCTGTAAACAGTCTTGGAAGTTCCCAGGGGCAGTTCCACCCTGTCCTACAGGGTTGATGACTCATGGCCGTATGTTCGGCTTCTTTTGATGGCGGTAATAAAGCCTCCACTGGTTTTTTACATGTACTGTTGGTTTTCTAATGCTCTTGGTGTCTGGCAGATGTTCTAATGCAATAGCTGCCCATTTTCCACCTCTCTTGCTGTACACACTGAAAAAAATTGGTTTTGTTACTATTATTACTTTATGATAACTTTCCCTTAGGATAATTGTCCATGTAACTTTAGACCCCATTTTTCTTTAGCCTGATTTCTCCTTTTTTTTTTAATCGTTTTATTAGGGGCTCATACGACTCATCACAATCCATACATACATCAGTTGTGTGAAGCACATTTGTACATTCATTGCCCTCATCATTCTCAAAACATTTGCTCTCCACTTAAGGCCCTGGCATCAGGTCCTCATTTTTTCCCCTTGATTTCTCCTTCTTACATCTGAAAATTTTTAACTACCTTAGAAAATAAGAGTGAGAGTCTGGAATGCAGTTAGATAACGATCTTTCCAGGAAACTTACACACACACACTCTCTCTCTCTCCCTCTCTCTCTCTTTCCCTCTCAGCAGATTCTCAGAAGGAATGCGTATGCCAGGCGCCCTGAAAAACTAATTTTGTAAAATGCTTATCCATGGCAGTCTGAAGATGTTTGTAGATTAGAAAAACCAGTTATTGTGATAAGAGATGTAAGAGCCCCCAATAAAAGTATTTTTAAAGTATAAATAGTATATTAAATAACAAACTTATAAATTAAAATGGTGATTATCAGCTCACGTTTAAAAGAAAATAAATGTAGATGTGGACAAAAGGTCAAAAAGAAAGAAAGAAAAGCCAGTTGTTGTGAAACTTATGGTCAAGCAACAGAAATTTCTGGGCTCTTTTGATAACTTTGGGATTGATTACACAAAATTGTAGATATCAGCCAATCAAAAACTTGCCTGTTCATTCTTGATATTTCTGTATTTAAATCATCTTCGGACCCCAGCTCACCCAAGAATATGGTGATATCACTTTCAGGCTGCCTGGTTTGAGCTCTGTGATTCTCTTGAACTCTTTTATTTTTGTTTTAGTCCTAACAGTGTTAGATGTTCTACATCTGTGGTGTCAGAATTGTGAGATTCAAAGGTACATTGCTTTCAGCAACTCCCAAAGATTGGAGGATCCAGACTCTTAACATCTTTAATAAATGTGTCTTGATTCCCACCCTACCATGAACTCTGATGAGATGTGTCAAGTGGTTAACATCTTGAATTGGAAATCTTCTTGTGTTTGAATTAGAGCTCTGTACACTTCACTGATCTGGTTTTGCTATAATTAGAATTTTGTTTGTACTTCTTCATGACAATTTGTTAAAACAGTGGCCATTTGTTTGGTACTCTCCAATTGGAAAGACCCAAACTCGTTGTAACCCCACAGGACAGAGGAGAGCTGTCCCCTGGAGTTTTGGAGACTTTTCATTTTTTGGGGGATCTTTCTGTTGACCTTGTGATTAGTAGCTCAATGTATAACCCGCGACATTTAAAAGAAGAGTACATCTCTAGTCAACAGCATGAACTCAGCAAGCTCAGAAGGAATTAAACCAGGTTTTGTGTGATATTATGAAGGAATCCTAGAGTCTTGTAAGAATTGTATTTAACTTTAGCGATCAAGAACTTTTTCTTAACATCTTTAATAAATGAGCCTACATTCCCACTATCAGTATGGTGACTGGGGGTTATGTTAAAAAGGCATTGTGACCTGAGTATATTTGAAGTCATTTGGAGTTTGGGTGATCACGTTGAGAAAGTGAGTTTCCATCTACTCTGTTTTCACACATTACTGGAAAATTAGCTCCCATGTGTTGTCTTTTCTTTCCTGTGGGATACTTTATTTTTCATGCTCAAATGTTGTCAGAGGTTCTGGTCTTTCTGCATCTGAGTATCTTGGATCTGTTTTTCTGCTAAATTAGGCCAGTTGCATCCAAGAATTGGCAGGTACACATTCAGAAACTGAGTTCTCCATGTTTGTCTTGTGTGAAACTGTCTAAGTCTGGGTTCTGAGCCGACCTCGCAGACTGATGACTTAACATGTTTTCTATGTTTCATGTTGTTTTGAGGGCTGAGCTGAACTGAATCAGGTAAAAGGCCATTGCTGGCGTTTTTCATGGGCTAT